GCCGGGGCCGCGGTGCGGGCTGGAGCGGGGGGGGGCCCGTCCCCGTCCCGCCGCTGCTGGGGATCCGAGGGAGCGCTGGAGCCGAGCCGCAGCCTTCTGCGTGGAATGGGAGCTGGGCCGGAGGTGAAAGGCGGGTTCCAAACCCCGGTGCGGCTCGGCTGTTTGGGCATGAGCTCCTAACTGCCCCGGAACACCTGCCCGGGCAGGTTTCTCACGTTGGTGTCATAGGCTTGTTGCGGATCTGTCGCTGTCTTCTCCTGTAGGGCTAGGGGCGGTTGGATCCCTCCAAGGAATTTGCACTTGGAGAACAAAAGAAAGCAGTTTTCTTCAGAAACGTCAATTGCAAACAAACGCAGGCTTTAGGCGCACCTTAGGACAGCGTGTATGTGCTACGTTATCTGGGCTTTTTATAAGAACTTGCAGTTGTCTTACAAGCACGTGAGTTCTACAGCAAAAGAAGCAAGTCGCTCGTTTTTAAAACTGGAAGGAATATGTTGAGGTGCAGCCGGTGGTATTGGTGCCGCGTTTGGACACACTGCTCGGCTGGCGTTGGTGCTCATAGCTCCCCATAGCATTGGGGTCCTGGGACGTTGCTTCCCGTGTCGGTTGGTGCAGATCCTGGTATTGCCGCAGCTTTCACCTCTGGCTGTGGCACGGCTGGAGGAGAGTGCCTGTCCTAACAGCACACGGCCCAACGCTGGCACAGCCGCGGGTGGGAACCGCTCAAGTTGTGCCATGCTCTTGCTATAAACTCATCAGTCCCTAGGAGTTTTTGCATTTTTTTCTTTGTGTTTAAAGCAGAAATTGTTTTTCGGGAGAACTGTCAACAATATAGCGTAGCGACTCAACAGAAAAACCGCTTCATAGGGACAACTCTTGGTCGCTCGTGTCGCCTTGTGCAGTTAACCTCTCCCAGGCGGTGCTGGAGTGCAGCTGAGAGGGGCTGTTGGGCACACGCTGTGTGCTGCAGCCCGGCTGGGCAGCGGGAGAGCTCCCCATGGCAGGGAGGTCTGCCGGCTGCGGCTCTTTGGCTGCTGCCGGCTCCTGGGCAGAGTTTCCTCTGGGTACGTTTCATCGTCCATTTCAAAGTCAGGTTGCTTCGTTGGTGGTCAGGAGTTTTTTTAAGAAAACCAGGCTGGCCTCAGTAACTTTTTTCTGAATATTTAGAGGAACTTTCACACATTTACTGATGTGCTGCCACTTCCCTTGGCAAGGTACTGGTGCCCTGCAAGCCCCTCCTGCCTCTGGTACTCAGACATCACCCTCGGGAAGTCGTACCAGCTGTGTTGTGCCCTGCTGCATAGAGAAGAAAACCTGAAATGCTTTGTCGACTGCTGGAATGAATGTCACCTGTTCATTTATTGATCTGAAGAGGAAACACATTGCTTCTTGGCAGTACCAGCTGAGGTATTCCTTATCCTAAATTTGGTTTCAGACAGAAAAGATACTGGGTGTTGGGGTCTTTTTGGTGTGAGATATAATGAAAGTTTGCCATTCCTTCAGAACTGAATGGTGTGGAAAGACCTAATGAAATAATGTGTGTTAATTTATCTAATGTGGGTTATAGGCAACACTGGAGTAATTAATTTCATTAATCCTGCTATAATCAAAGACATGTCTCGGAGTTTTGTTTTACACAAAAAGCTGTTATGTCCCAACTGTCAGTAAGAAAAATTATCTTCCACTATAAATGTTGCTGAAATATGGGAAAATGAATCAAATCCTTAGGAATTGTTGCTTAACAAGTTCTGCTGAAAGCACAGGTGTTAACACCTGTCAGAGCCAGAGCTTGACTTTGATCCTGCTTAAGCAGGAGTAAATTAGTTTACTCGGCTGATGCTGCTGGAGTGCTGCCAGCACAATGTAACTGAGATCAAATGTAGGATCTTTATAGGAACTGTATACAAAAAGATTAGAGTAATTCCTTGGGAGGTTTTTTCCTGTGGTCACTTCCAAATTCTCAAGGCTGGGACAAGCTTCTCTTTGCTGATGTGGTCCTCGTCATTCTCTTGTGCACTTTTCTGGGGACTGCTACCAGTTAGGTGACGTTTGCATGGGACTCTGTCATAACTCCAAAGTGCTCTTCCCTGGAGGGATGCAGTTAGGACTGTTTTTCCTCCCTATGCATTATATTTATTCACACCAAGCTTCATCTGTCACTTTACATGTAGTTTTCTACTATCGTGAGGCTTCCTACCACTGAATAACTCAGCAGACTGTATCACCTCACAACTCCTTGCCTTTTCCAAATGGCAAACATCTTAATATTCAGGGAAGCCATATGTGGAGCTAGTATTCTGCTTGAGTGAATCAGACAGAAGGTTCTGGTTGCAGAGGGGAGGCTGCAGGCAGATTCAGCTTCGGTGACAGACCGTGATTTCAGTTTGCATGAGTCAGGCTGTCACTGTTGCCCCTGGGACTCAAATCCCCACCTGGTTCTCCTGCTTGTGCTGCAAAGTGGCCCTCTGGCAGCAGGGCTGGGAGGTGGCGGGGGCGAGCACCCCCTCGGCCCTGCGGCGTCCTGCCGCTCGCCTGGGTGAGCTAGCCCGCGCAGGAGGAAGCCCAGCAGATCCAGCGAGCCAGGGCGCGCAAAGTAACCGGGAAGTCATAGCTACTGTCACGCACACGCATGTTAGCACAGCGTGCTATGCAGTGTAGTTTTTGCAAAGTATTTATTACAAAATAAAAGTAAATATGGCAACAAAACTTAAATAGCAAATGATGCGACACTGGCCATAAAGCTCTTGCTAAATTATTAGTCTTTTACAATAATCAATAGTCAAGTATGTCTCCAAGGGAAGCTGCATGTGGACAGCTTGCACGTATTTCTATATTATTGGCTCTAGCTGTTCGAGATACATTAGATGTGTGCCTCCTGCTTTCACTTGTACCTGGCTGTGAGCAGTTGTACTGTGTGCTGGGCTCACTGATCCCCCTAAAACAGACAGGAGCCAGCAATTCCCATGCTCTGCCATGCTTCACCCCAGCTCCTCCTCCCCTATTTTGTTTTAAAAATGCAGCAAATGATCCAATGCCCATCCCTTTTTAATAAGGTAGCAGGAAATGGGAGTAGCAACACTGAAGTACCTGTTCTTCCCCTTTGAGTCACAACTTGTCTTGTGAGAGGTTGCTTGGATTTCTTTCCTTTCCCGCCTACTAAAAACTGTTATTAAAGCTCACCAGCGAGAGAGAAAGTCAGTGTTCCTGCCGAAAGGGCTTTTAGCTGCGCTCCAAATGGGAATGCAGTCCTCCAGGTCTCTTAAGCCACATGTCTAATGGAAGCACTCTTTAAATAGAATATAATTAAATTTAAAAAGGTGACTGTGTGGGGGGAATCTTCCTAAGGCACCCAAGAATTTAAAAAGACCTTTTCCCACTCATATTACTTACAGGACACTCTTGTTCCTCTTCTCTCCAAGGTTAAAAATGTTGGCAAGTTAGGAACCTTAGCATACACAATGACATAGTTGAATAGCATTAAGAAAAAACGGAACAAAAAGAAAACCCTTCGTGAATGTAAAGCACTATGTCCAGACAGCCTAGGTTTTGCTAGCTATGCAAATACATCACGGACAACATGTAGAAATAGTCACGTTAATGCCAAGGTTTCCGTTGTCAGCAAAAAGGTGTGCTATAGCCGTATCAAAAATTAGGCAGTCGCTGTTCAGAATGGCTGCAGCCACCCCGTCGTGGATGGAGCAAGGCGTTGCCTCCCAGGTCAGCCGGCGGCGGTTGCCGTTCAGCTCCAGTCTGTATGCAAAGTTCTCCGCTTGCTTACGGGTGCCGATGAGCAGCACGATGGCAAAAAACTGCTGGTGACCTTCATACTTCTCTTGTTTCTCCAGCACCAGCATGAAGTGGTGACCGAAGCACGACTGCATCATCACCCAGTCAACAGCCCCTGGAAGGTTAATGTCTGTGGCAAGAAAAACGATGTCTTCTCCCTGAAGGGTGGTAATGCTTTTGTGGGCGTGCATGAGGTGGGACATCACGGCTTCCAGGGATCCCTGCCATTTACAGGATGCACCAGGGCATGGGCAGGAGTAGGGACGATACTCACAGATGTCTTCGTGTTCTGGCTTTTCTGTGTGATGGAGTGTCAGAGAGCAGCCTGTTGTGGCGTACTGGAAAAAGACCAAATACAAGCTGTCAGGAAAGGCACCAGCACTAGTGTTCGCTGCTCCCACCTGTCAACTGGAAACACTGGTGATCAACCAGAACTCTTGTTCTCATTGCAAATTTTACATTAGATACTTCTATTTAGCCCTGGATTCAGAGCTGAGTTTTACTTATTTTTGTTTCCACTTAAAAATGGATTCTTCTTGTCTTTTGTGGTTGTTTTTTTTTCTAATGCAAGCGCTTAGTAAAATGGATTGTAAGGCTGAGTTGTAGTTAGATTTGCTGTTGTAGTTAGATCTGATCGGTCCAGATCAGCTGAAGTGGTCCTGGTTTGGATTTTTCTTTTCTTTAAAAAGAACAAAGGATTCTAGTTTCAGCAAACAGCTACTAGAGTGAAGTATTTTTAATAGATGTACCTTATTACCATCAGAGAACAAAAGCACTCCCATTAAATTCAAATGCAGATTCCCCACAGCTTTTTTTAAACACTGGAACAGTTTCAACACTGCAATTGTGAGAAGTGGAAAGGGAGAGGATGATTTTTCACCAAGCATAAAGCTAGCACACAAGTAGGTACCCTCTAACTTCTCTTAATGTCATTGGGCAATTTGGAGGGTTAATGTGCTTTAAACAACCGGGGATGCTCTTCCTTTTTCTACGGTCAGTTCAGTTGTCCACAGTGACGATACTGCTTTGACGCTACCTCCATAGAGGAAAAAAAGTCTCTCCTGTTCTTCCCAAGAGCACAGCTCCCCCAGTCTGTAGGTATCTGTAGCAATATCAACTCCACTGCTAACACGAGCATGTACATTACAACATGCATGCACGGCTGCTTATGGATGCTATGACACTTCCTTGAGGACAGATATAACCAAGGTATAAATGATTATTTCTGGGCTAATATGTCTGAAAGAAGTTTCAGCTCAAAGGGTTAAATGCCCAAGGTGCAAATCACCCATGCTGTGAGCACGGTGCTAGGAATACCAGGACAGAACCTCGACGTTGTGCGTCTGGAGGAGCTTGTTTTATAAGCCATAAAGAGTTAACGTGGGCCTTCACTTACTGTGTCTGCCTCTGCTGCTTAATCCTCTGCTAGTGGCTTTATTGCAGGGCGCTACAGTGAAACAAGCCGTCCTCCTGCCAAAGGCAGAAGCCCCATCACGGCAAATGCGCCCGTCTGCCATGCCTGCTGCCCTGCCGCGCAATGCAGCGACCCAGGTACGTGTACACGCGCAGCCCCACCAGCCTGCTGGTGTTTCCCATGTTCCTACCCTCGTTAACGTTTCAATTGTGCGAGGTGCTGAAGAGCAGCTCCGAGTCTAACCTAATTAACAAAAATAGTAAGAATATACAAGCTGCTGATTGGGCGGAAGCAGCCATCTACACAAAAGCGACCAGTGGTGAGTACAGAAGTGAGAGCTTAAAAACAAGACGAGCAAATAGCACTGGCTTTGCCCTTCCCCGTGAGAAGTACCTGTGCTCGTGTGCTCCCAAACCCATCGCTGCGGCTTTTGTTTGGTGAGGAGCCCTACCAACAGTGGGAGACCATGAACAGCAAAAACTGACTTGCCGTCTTTGTGCTGCTTTGCAAATGTCATTCATCTTTATCATAGCCCTCAAAAGCTTGCTCCATCTCTCCCTGTGTACAGGTTATACAATACCTTTGAGCTATGTGGCCTGTGCACCTTCTCCACCTCTACCGTGTCCTTGAGACGGGGAGCCAGGGCTGCGCACGGTGTTAACAGTGCAGGTATGCTACTAATGCCTGGGCTGGCATGGCTGTTTTCTGCTTTTTCATTGCCCTTCTCATAATTTCTGGTATTCCATGCCAGAAAATATTATGTACTTGTTTTTGTAGTCGTTTGTTTAGCACTGTATTCTCTTTCCTAAGAGGAAGCAGTCAGCTCAGAGCTCATCACCATATACATAGCTTAGTGTGCCACATTTTTGCCACGTGTGTCACTCTGCGTGTGCTGCTCTGAATTTCACTTTGACAGGATAGCTTTCTGAGTGTACTAAAGCATTTGGAAAACACCAGTTAAGCTTGAAAGTGTTCAGCAGAGGCAGGCCAGTATTATCAACCCTGTAAATTAAGGCAGGCAGGGACACAGGATTAAAGTAACTTGTCTGAAGCCACATGGGAAATCAGTGGCAGAGCTGGGAATAGACTGCCAAGTCCAAATCCCTCCTGCTCTAGCCAGCAGCCTCTCCCTCTAGTATAGAAGTAGTGTAAGATACAAATAATGCTTCTGGAAAGAAGATGCCTGCCTGCTCCTGTATGTGCATCAGCAATGTTCACGGACTCAACAAGGACTGAGACCCTCTCATACTTCTCTCTACTCCAGTGCTTTGTAAAACCTCTGTCCCTGCTTTTAAGATCCCTTCAGCCCTCCGAAGTATTCGTTGAACCTTGGGTACAGATGCTTAGCCCAGTCTAGCAGTGACCCTAGGGAGCTCCCCCAGGGATGCACGGTGAGGTCCAGCCCAGAAAACAGCGAGCCTCTGTGCTTTCCAGAGCCTCGCACCAGTGAGGAAACCGGCTTGGGTCACAGCCAGCTGCCTGGCAGAGCGCATTTATAAACTCTGTTCTGCCAGCAGTGCTGGGTCTGCTGTTGTGGTTCACATGGGAAAGGACCAGCGAACATTGTGTCATTTCATGCATAGAGCATGCAAGCTCGATGCACCTGTGCAGGTAGGGTGATGTAAGCAGACCCCTGTGTGTAAGGGATGTCTGTTCAATTAAAACCAAAATAAACTGCATTTTTATCAGAAAAAAATCCCATGGCTTTATTAGAGTCTACTATGTCTTGGAAATAGGAAGGGTGACCTTATTGAGGTTTAGTATATTTGCTTAAAATCTTTAAAATGACATAATTTTTTTTTTAAATTAAAGCTCTGAAGAGGCTGTAGAAGCAGCATTGGGCAGTATACAGGAGTAAATTTGTATATAATAACATGACTATGCAATTTCTATTTGCAAGTTGTTTGCTTACATGGGAAACCTCTCATACTTTCCCTTGAACTGATAGTGTAGCAGCAGTGGTCTTTGCCTACCTCCTACCACCCGTCTAAAGAAAATTAAAGTGATTAGTCTGGTATTATTTAAGACTTGTTAGCTTATATACAGTCTCACTATGCCTTCCACTTTTTAAACACAAAGTGATGGTTGTGAAGTACAGAAAGACTTTTCCACAGAGCAAAGTGTAAGAGTACAGCACAATGAATTTACTGGATTCACTTTTCTTCAAAAGGACCAGGACCATCTGGAGACTCAGAAACACGGCAGTATCTCCAGTTAGAGATGGCTGTGTTCAAGGATCTCGGAAGACTCTCTTCATGCGAGGTATCTGTCCTAGCTTCCACGATGCAGAGCATTACCACTCCTAGGAAGGCTGGTAAGAATGGGGTCTCAATCCTCTGAAAAATCAAGCCCTGTGTACTTAGATTTTTTTTTTTAAATGTATGTAATAACTAGAAAAGTAAATTTCCTTTATTATAAGTAAAACTCATTGTTAGGTTGAATTAATCACAGCAGTGACAATTCACTGGTGTACCTATGCAGGATTTTTGGTGGAGGTTTTTTGTGTGTTTTGGTTTTGTTTTGTTTTGTTTTTTTTCTTTTTCCCTATCACACATTGCTAAATGCCATCCATATAGCTGCCCAACTGGGCTCCTATCAGTGTGTAAACACTGAATTTGCTATTGGATATTCTTTCCTTAGTGTTGGGCTAGTTTTTGCCCATGTATGTTGGAGGTAAGTTCTACTATAAACTGAAATGCAAGCAGGAACTGCCTGCAGTTTTACACAGGGTAGACGAGGAGTGCTGGTCCCACGTCATTTCCGTGGCCATGCTAAGATCACTCAAGCATGAACATCTTTGTTTGTCAAGTCCCACCACAAAAGGCTAGCAAAACACGGCAGGACACAGACCTCGGCTAATACTCGTGGTTACGCGAGGACTGCCGTTCTGCCAATGACAACAGAGAACACTCACAGTTTGTTTTCTCATAGACTTTGGATGAAGTGGTTAAATCGAGAAACACCTCTCCCACCCTATGCTGCTCAGTTAGCCAGGTGACAGTTCCAAGTTTAGCAGCTAATGATCACAGCGTACCTCACACAACTGCTGTGAAAATGGATTCTGGTGTCTGTTCAGGAAGCTGCCAATTCATAAGGTTTATTTTCTTTCATAGCCAGTATTGGACAAAACCCCCAAAGTTACGGAAGAACCTATATCCAAATTAAGTCAGCTTCATAACTAGAGAGCACCTTTGTATTATTTTCCACTTGTACTTATTTAAAAGGTGAAAGAAAACAGCTGATTCCTTTTGGTACTTATTAATTAGGAGTTTGAGTGTGTTTATGAAGTGCATTTTATCTTGTGCAGATTGCTTAGAGCACTAAAAGCCATTTTACGTTTTCAGTAACTTTACTGTGACTTTACGACTTAAATCCTCCTATATATTTTTTTTTTCCAGAAGCCCTGTAAAGCACCGAGATGCAATAACTGTAATTCTTTCTTAAAGCATTTTAAGAAGAACAACCCTCAAAGTAACTAGAGCCACAGGCAACACCAAATCCCCATTTTCTGTTGGCTCTGCACTGTTGTGTCTCAGTCCTACTTATTTCGAGTGCCATTCATAGTTGTCTCTGGAAGTGCAGGGTCCTCCTCTGGACAGACCACTGTCTCTATTTGTTCTTTCGCATTTTCTGGAACTCTGACTTCCCCCTCGCCTCCCAAAAGCTTACATCAGGTTCCCTTAACGTGGTAAAAACCACAGGTGAGTCAGACCAGGGCCAGGCCCTGGTGCATGGTCAGCTGCCGCGTGCCGGCTGCAGAGCGGGGCAGTTCTTGCCAAAACGCCTGGTGCTGCTGCAGCACCCAGTGGACACCCACCACCGAGGGGCACGGTGGGCCACCTCCCCGCTGGCTGGCTGCGACCTACATAACACCGACTGAGAATTACAGCCCTGACGGCGTGTTGCTGTTTCTGTGCCCAAGAAGTGAGAGCGAAAAGTGTTAACGTGTGCTAATTTCACTTTGCGGCTCTTGGGAACAGTGAAAGCAGGAGAGCAGGAATTGCTCATGGCAAAAAAAAATCCACATAAAAGAGAGGGTGTGCGAGGGAAGAGGAGCAGAGACTTATCTACGCCTCTGCGAGGAGCTTCTGGGTGCCCGACGAGTGAGGGGCGGAGAGCTCGCGAGCAGATGCTGGTGCGCGGGGAGGATGCACACTCCCACACCGGTCATACCGCAGCACGGTCTGGGATGCGGGGCTCCGAGCGCACCATGTTTTCGGGTCCGAGCTAGACAACTCACAGGTGCACGTGTGACCGCAGCAGCATGGCGTGGGGGAACCTGACATCCTGCTGGCAGTGCCGCCCAGTGCCCCTGTGCGCAGCTGAGGCCGGGGGCTGCCCCGGCCGTCCCCTCCCACGCGCTGCAGCCCAGGGCTCCTGCCTGTGCTAGCATCTCGCCAGGTAGCTGCGAGGTGCAGCACGCCGACCACTGCTGGTTCAGTCCCTCTCCAGCTCTCCCAGCTCTAAACTGGCTTGCAGGCACTGTATCGAGAAACCAAACCAAGCCCCGAGCTGGCGTGAGCCCAGTCCGCGACCTCCTGCTGGCTGCAGCAGCAGCCTCTGATGTGCCGACCAGCACAGACCTGTGCCTTGGGTTACTGCAGAGACCACCAAAACACCCCCGGGTCAAGGCAAAACACTCACAGCCCCGTAACCAAGATGCTGAGCTGCCCGATCCCCAGCACATTGTAAACCTCACCAGCATCCCTCCTCCTCTGGGTCACTGCTTTGAAGAGCACAAGGTCAACCACAGGAGTAATACTGGGAGGAATTTTTGGAAATGCTCTTTTCTTAACTGGCTGACATCTGCTGGCCTTCTTATTTATCTTTAGAGAACGCCAAACTGGAGGAGTGTTTACAGCTGATGCACCTGAACCAGAACTTGCCTGACAGACACAGGGATTGCTATTCAGTTCTCCCAGGGGGATATGGCATGGGGGTGTGTGTATGTTCTTATACATACTTCTCTTTGTTGGTGCTTACTTCTCGAACCATGGAGAAAGTAAACCTCAAGGGGTGAAGAAGCCAATCCCATAATTAAGGGCTTAAGAAATCTTCCTCTTACCAAGCGAGTAAAGTAACATCTGACAGGTAAAGTTAGGAACATCTCATCTTCTTCTCTTTACAGGGGAGAGTCTGTAGGCTTTTTTCCTCCTTCTCCCACACTTTGTTTACCCCCAAAGCGTGGGGATGAGCAGGCAGGAGTCCTGCCTGGCAGTTCAGCTGCTGGACAGACTGGCATCCTGCGGGCAGCAGAGCTGCACCTCGGTGCAATGAAGGGCTGTGAGGACTCTGGTCCGGGGAGCCGCTCCAGCCTGGATACATCTGTTTCATTAAGGACAAGCAGGGAAAACTAGCTGCCACAGACGAGACCGACAAGAGACTTTAGAAAACGAGAACTAGGCCAGCGTTTCAGTGAAAAACCCGCGCCGGCTGTTTGTATTCCCTTGGGCTCAGACTGGGTCACAGCTGGGCGTGTGGCTGGCTGCACTTGTTGCTGTGTTCAGCAGAGAGGACCTGTGTCCCACCACTGCGCTCCATCTGTTACTGCCACCGTGAGGTTGACCCCTGTTCAAGGGCAAGTGGTAAAACAGCCCCACACTATGAAAAGCTCCGCAAGGCAGCGATCCCATCCCGTGACCCAGCCAGCCCCCTGAGGCAGACGGGGCTTTCACCACCGACCACACCATGCTGCAAGAATCGACACAGACGATTCCCTCTGGAGGTGCCGTTACTCCCTGCGCATCCTTAGTGATGCTCCTGCGGGCCGGCCGGGGAAAGCTGCTGCTAGGGACTGGCTTTTCCAGGCAGAGGTGGCGAGTGCCTGCTCGCAGCTCTCACCGGAAAGCTCGCCACGTGCTGCTGGAGCCCAGCAGGGCCCGCTCTGGCTGCATCGGTTCCACTGCCAGCCTGACCACAGTTCTCCATGGACAGCTCTATATTTTAAAACTTTCTTCTCACATTCCACATCAGCGATGGCTCCAGCAGTTCCTGTATCTGTCCCTCCATCACTTCAGCCTGTGGTTTTAAAGTGCTTTTGATATTACAGAGGTATGAGGATCAAGGGGCTCCAGGAAGATAGAAAAAGGGCCTATTCAGCATTGCCTGCGTGTACGTATCTATCTGCCATCCTGGTGAATGTCTATTAGGAAGGATGTGCACTTTAGAGCAGTTCATCTAGTTCTTTTAAATAGAAAACTCACTTAAAAAAAAAAAAAGAGATTTAAATGTTTAATCTGAATATGTGAAATAGTGCTGAGAGAGAACAGACTTGAAAAAAGAATAATTCAGATGTAATTACTGACCTGACAGCTTACCAGCCCCTGCCCTTCCAAAGGAGGGCTGCAGAGAACTAACAAGAGGGACATGAACAGAACTTCTGCTACCTCCATAAAACCCTTTTTTAAGACTGAGCACCAGCATAGCTTAAAAAAACTGGGGGGGGGGGGGAAGTCTGTCCTTTTTATCTACTGATTATGCCAAATACTAGGACAAAATTTAGAGCCGGATTTTCAGTGAATTATAAAGAATCACTAGAACTTTTGCTTTTAAAGGCTGGTGGCGCTCCCATCATCTTATTTTACTTTAGAAACCTGCGGAACCATGAAACAGGCTCATGGAGGCCAGCAAGTGCCTCCTTTTACTGTTCAGTGTTTATGACGGGGAAGAAAGAAAGGGAGGAAGGGGACTCTGACCCGCAGAGAATGAAGCTGCAGAGCTACAGCTTTGCTGTCTGCAGTGGGTCTGGACAAGTCCCACGTGCTGGTGTGGGAGGAGACGCCTCAGGTGTCTTCAGCGTGGGCATTATTGTACATGCCAAATCATCACCTTCTACAAACTGCCAAGTGAACCTGCTATTGCTTACGTTGGATGAACCTTAGAAAGTGCCTTAAAGTCTTCTCGTGAGCTGCAATGTTTCTCTATCGAACTAGCAACGAAGGCGAGACATAAGCCCAGCGGGAAATTCTGCATCGCTCTGCTCTCCCCTCCTCAGTCCGCTCGGCGTGCAAATCCGAGGCCAGCACAGAGGCGGCCAAACACGACACTGTACCTACCCCAGCTGGTTCGCAGGGTTTTGGAAGTGAAAGACCACGAAGGTAGAGGATTCTTTGCCGTTAAAAGAAACAACCACAAACCAAAAAAAAACCCGACCCGCCACGCTTCGAGGCCGCGTTTATACCGAAACACCCAAATGAGTAAGCTTTTCCGCTGCGCTTTTATTTTTTTTTTGCGGAGGGGGAACCTAACCTGACTGCGAGCCACCAACACCCAAACTTTGCCACTCGGACAGAAAGTTTTTTTTCCCCTTTTTTACTAGGGGAAA